GCGCCGGAGCTGGAAAAGCGCCGGTGTGAAAGGGGCATAATTGTCCACGTTGGGTCGAATGATACAGCCCACCAGCAGTCGGAGCTGACAAAAAATGATTTTGAGAAACGTTTTAATCTTCTACGGAGCTGTGAAAAGTCGGTTTTTATCTCAGGTCCGATCCCAACGCTGGCCCGCGGAGCAGGGCGTTTCAGTAGGATCTAGTGATGGGAATTATGGCTCTTTGAAGGGAGCCGGATCTTATGGCTCCGTTCCTTTCAAAGAGCCGTTCAAAAGAGCCGTTCAAAAGAGCCGTTTTTTAAAAAAGGGGGCGGGGTTACTAGGTTTATCTGCGAAATAATCACCAGGATAATGATTGACTGCATTGCCAGACCTAATGTCAATAATCTGCATTGTAAACATGACACAAGGTGGCGCCATATCCATGTCATTCATGTCAGTGAATGTACTTTGAATTTACCCTCTGCATGTGTTAAGTAAATAAAGTTGCCTTGCCTTGAATGAAATTCACGCAACTCTTAATATTAGTAGTGTGTTTTTAAGTGGCGATGGAGATTATTTGTTGACCCTGCTTTAAAGGATATTTTGCCTTTACAAATGGTGCGCTTTATCACTGCCTGGGTTTTGGTTGAAGTGCATCCAAATGCTGCTGCGTTTTCGCGTTTGGCTCATTTTCCATCCGAAAAACACGTCGTCTATCTGTCCAGTACCACTTGTTATGACTTCTCTCTCTCGCGTATTCCGTTAAGACCCACCCCACCTAACTCCTCGTGCTGAAACCTACCAATCAGAGTAGGGGCGGGTCTTCACAGAATACGTTTGGGGAACAAAATCAAGCTTTTTAAAAGGCGAGTGAATTTTGGCAGGCAGTGAGTGCGGACCAACTTTGATTGAACGATAAGAAGAACGGCTCTCACCAAGTACGACTCGGTTCCCCTCGTTCGTACCAAAGAGCCGTTCAAAAGAATCGGCTCGTTCGCGACCGACACATCACTAGTAGGATCCTCAGCCTCCACACTTGGCTCCAATCCGCCTGCAGAGCTCACAATTTAGGTTTTATTGACAATTTTAATCTATTCTGAGACCGACCCGCCCTCTTCAACACTGATAGAATCCACCCCAGCAGGTTGGGTAGCCGCATGCACGCTGTTCAGACGTCTCCCTGACTATTTCCACTCCATTCCCACACACCCCACTTTCCAGCAGTGTCATCTCAGGCCACCGTTTCCACTGCTAGAAACTTTTCTACCAGTAAGTTTTCTTCGCTGGTGCCGCTGACGTCTGCCATCTCGCTCTCTGGCGCCACCCAACGACCAGAGGCTTCTATGCCAGTGCAGCGACCCATTTCTGTTATAATCAACATACACAGAAGGTTGGAAACAGAAAGTCCAAAAGCATCTGTTTGAGTTTGTCGAATTTAACAGAAGTTCCGCGTGCTCCACGGTCTATCACGGGCGGTCAGAGTGATAGTATATCTAACACACTTAAACTCGCTCTATTAAATGTCAGGTCTTTAGCAGGTAAATCACCAAGCACAATCTGGATTTTATGTTTTTAACTGAAACTTGGTTAGACCAAAACAACAGCACAGCTGTTCTTATAGAATCAACCCCTCCCAACTTTAGTTTTATGAGTCAGGCAAGACTGCATAAGAAAGGGGGTGGAGTAGCTATTTTGTTTAAAGTAGCGACAGTAAAAGTAGTCATTGAGCAGATTGGTCCATTTCCGAATAATATATATGATATGTTTTATAATGATTTATCATGAAAGTGTTCTCAAAGCTGGTAAAGGTGCAGCTAGTTTGAATGACTTTGTATACTGCAGGGTAGCTTGTGAATTTACTCCAGGTGGAACTAAAGTCTGATTTAACACTTGATTATATTTCACATCATTCATCCACATCTGTAAAGTAACTAAAGGTATTAAATACATGTAGTGGAGTAAAAGTACACCATGTACCTCTGAACTGTAGTGGAGTAGAAGTAGTAGCATAAAAAGAAAACTAAGCTTCATCTCCAAGTCCAATGGCCTTGGAAGAGCTGCTAAGGAAAAGGAAAGACATCTGGAGACTTTGGAGAGACAGCTAACGGACAAACTCAAGGAACTGAAAGACACTCCCTGATAGGCCGTATGCTGTTTAGCCTTACCTTGAATGATTCAGTGCAGTGTTCTGTGCAGGTTTTTGGTTTGCTTTTTCAACTCAAGGAGCTCAAAGACTGATTGGAGGTTGATTTGATTTGCATAATTTCTGATTGCTGATTCAATGTGAAGGAAAATTCACATTTGAGTTGATACAGTATATGTGTGCATATAATGCACCCTTTGGCCTAACCTGGGAGAGCCTTATGTTCACTGCCAACCTAAGGACCTCCAACATGTTAATAAAGAATGTATTGAAAAGTTATTTGGCTGATTGTTGTATATTGGCTCAGCCAGGTTATATGGGAGGCCCAGTCTACTTACAGATGGGTCACTCATTTTGAAATATTACAATTTGTTTTCTTTTTCTTTAATTTATCATCCTCATGTAGAATGCTATCACGAAACACACATTTGGTTGTTTATAGCATAAAGAACATCTGATTTAATGTGAGGTAGGGAAATAATCATTTGAGTATGTGTATATAAATATGTAATTTACAACAGCTGTAAGATGCTTGATAAGCTTGAAATGTACCTTGAAAATACTTGAAAAGTGCTTGAATTTGACTTTGGAAAAGATGTAAAAACCCTGAATATTTACTATCATTTGAATAATAGTTACGTCTTTGGATTGCATTTGCTCCTTGTCATGCGCAGATAAAACACAAGACACAGATAGCGACCGCATCGTCTGTTACAACACAGGCAGTCAGAGAGACGAGTGCACCAGTTCAGGGTGACCCTCGCACGGACCACCAGAAGATATGTCAGAGGTCAATATTACATTTAAGCACTGGATTTTATGAAACATGCACATTACTCAATGTGTGGAGTCAAAGAATGTAGTTAGTCCAAAATAAACCATTTTAAATATATGGATTCACATCAGCAAAGACTCTGATGTCAAAGACTCCCTTTCACTAAATGAAAAAATGTCATTGTGTTTTGCAGTGTAATTCATCAGGGACAGAGGACATGATGGGCAATACTTTAAATAAAAAAGGAACTCCCTCCCCAGCCACTTCCGATCTGCCAACACTCTGACATCATTCAAACAATCTCTCAAAACTCACCTTTTCACTCTAGCCTTCAACTCCTAATCCACTAACCCCTCACCCTTATTCCACCTAGCTTAGCACTTTTTACTTTTGTTGTTATTTTTCTTCTTTCCTTGCTTGTAAAGCGATTTGAGCACCAGGAAAAGCGCTATATAAATCAAATGTATTATTATAAGCGTCGTTTCAAGTCTTTAAACTGGACTTCGGTCATGGCCGACGGCATCCGCAGTGTCCCCCCCACACTGTTGCTTTGCCTTCAAATGGCACTGTGCGAGCAGTTGGGTCAGTTAAAAAAGTGTCACTTTTTTCATGTTTTGGGTAGTGTGTTTTTGATGACTGCCCTGTGACACAGCATGGCACCACTGTGAAGAACTGAAGCTTCGGCCTGTGTGTGCAGATGAATGGGATGCCCTTGCTAATGCCTTCAAAATCGGAATAAGCTGGATGACACTGTGTTGGCTTCTGGAAACCGAGATCAGGTACCATCAACTGGTGTCATGAAAACATTGTCCTTGCAGGAATGAAAAAAGCACCGAAAGAAAAACAATGAAATGATCAGCCTCCAAAAAATGATGAAGGAAGAGCTCGGGACTGAGGAAGCAGTCATTCAAAAAATGATATCCCATCCTAAAGGTGTCATGCTATGATCCAAGAAAACTGTTGACCTCTTCCATGACAGGTGCAGGGAAGATATTGTATATTTGGAAGCGACAGGGAGCAAAAAGCAAAAGGGAAAACCTCACAGTTTTATGTATACGAGATGGTGCTCCGAAATCCATTCAAAGGATCCTCCCCTATCCCCGAGGCCACCGACATCACCAATGACCACACAACAGCCTCCATATCATATTTCATTGGGGCATTTGTGACGGATTGAATAAGACTCCATGGAAGAAGAGCCAAACAAAGGCCTGCCGTGTTGATATGCGATGGCTCAACAGTCCTTCTGCAGTCCATGGCCTATAACTTCTGTGGAGTCAGCCTCCAGGAACTGCTCTCCAGGAACCACAGCATTGTGACTGGACAGGCGAAGCATGGTTGCATAGGGCTACCCATCATGCATCGCTGTTAAGTCATGTCATGAAAAATGCCGAAAACAGTACGTGATTTCTGTCCTTTGCTACAATGCTTCCTGAAATCATTCATTGGTGAAGTCTTTGTAATAATAATTTTTCAACCTTTTGCTTAAAGTGCTGCCAAACATTACCACCTGGCTATGCATGTCTTTGGACTCAGGACACAGGCCACCACACTGTGGAGCAGGAGGAAGTTCTCTCCAGAGCCTACTGACAGATTCAGCACAGTCAGACTGGACAATTCAAGTGTTGTGGAGCAAGACTGTGGTATGTAATAATTATGTGAAAGTTGTTTCCTAGCTCAAAAATATCAGAAAAAAGGGTTTGTTGACCTTCAAGTCCAACAGAGCAGAAAAGAGGACAGAGGCAGTGTGACCACAAACAATGGAACAATATTAACATGGTTTACATATTTTTAAATGACCCAAATCTCAATGCAACTAAACTTATTTTTGGATTGTTTTTCATAGAATGATATTGGACCCACGCCATTCCAACAACATTTCGGGGACCTAATAACAAAAAGAGTACTTGACAAATCTGATGAGGCCAACGTGTACTTCTGCCCAACTGTATCCCTTCATTGCTGAAGTACTTTCTGCCCCAGGCTGGTCTGTGGTCTAGCCTACTCTTGGGTGCGTTTTTTTTGCACGTTTTTCAATAGCTGCTTGTTAATATAATTACATTTAAAATAAGAAGGCATGTTTACTGTCGGTCAGGTGACCTGGGACGCCATGGAACAGGGCCCATTTATCAAAAACTTTCCCTGAAGCACCAAAGGGCTCCCAAAAGACCCACACAGGTACAATAAAGCTTTGATGTCAAATTGAATTTCCTTGCATTATTCCATCATCAATATTATAAACTACAATGTATACAGTATGTAAACCATGTGATGTTAACAATATAATTTGATGTACCGTAACTAATATGTTGAACTGCAGATTAACACTGGACAACAAAACTCAAGGCATTATGGAAAAAAGCGAGGGGGAGCTCTAAAGATCTGAGCGCCGTTCTAAGGGAACTCTCTGAGGAGAGCAGAAGGTAACGTTTTTTATTTTGGCTGTTATGTTATTACATTTGTCCCAAGTCATTAAGCATTGCTATTGGTTAGTCAGCAGGTCATTTAGTTATTATTAACATTTATATCAGGTGTGCTAATAACTGTCAAAGAAATAAAAGTGATATACCAATCAAAACTGTGATGCAACTGAATTTAGTAGGTTTCATAATGTTGATGAATAATAATTAATGCAATAATCAATTAATTTCCAGGCAAAGAAAATGTTTGGTGCAAAAAGAAATCCAGATTGAATGACGTGAAATGGCAGAACATGAAATGAAAGGTAATTTATGAGTGCATTTACCCTGTGAATACTCATTAAGTGCAGACTCATCGTGTGGAGCGATGGAAGCAAAGAAAGTTTGGCGAGGAGTTTGACATCCATAAACAAGCCTTTTGTTTTCAGACTGCACAAGAAAAATGTATGTATTTTGGAGAGCTAACCATTGTTATCCTGTCCTTTGAATAAAACAAATGTTCTAATATTTGTGTCATAAACACAACTCGGAGCATGCAGGAAAAAAAGGAAAAAACACCCGAATATTGAAAATATGTTGAAAATATGAGAAAACACAACATAGTATAGAATGTCAAGTAAGTCAAAGTATAGTTTGTGAACATTTAAAAATAAATTGTATAGTATGTTGAAAATATCACAAAAAGTTATAGAACAGTATGTTCTTTCATACTAAAGAACGTCCAAAAAATAAAATACAAATAAAAACCAACAGTTTAATATGTAGAAAAAAATCTGATATTGAAAAAAATGACAGTTTAGTATTTTGAAAATATCTGAAAAAAGTTATAGAATGTCAAAAAATAATATATATGTTGAACATTTAAAAAAAATGGTGTAGTATGCTGAAAATATCAGTAAAAAATGATATGAATAATATGTAGAAAAATATCAGAAAATTATAGATGGTCATATGAAAGTAGATCTGTCATATTAAAAAAAATGACATGTTGTAGTACTTGTAGTATATAGTATGTGGAATAGTTAAGAAAAGCAACATCAGAATCACAAATCCTGTGTTCTACAGAGGGGATATTTACGCTGCTACAGCGAAGGGGACAACACGGACACAGACAAAACATACATATGAAATAAAGAGGCAAGCACATGTTAAAAAAATAATGTTAAATAAGTACACGTTCATGTTAAAAAAGAGGAGTTGCAGTATTATAAAAATGAAGTGGAACATAAAAAGTAATGAATTAGCATCTAGATCATAATATTAAATCCAAAGTGTATGTACTGCAGTGTTATTTTACAGCATTGTTGTTACAGTATTAGGTAGCAACCAATACTAAAGTTGTAAAGTAGAATGTATTGTGTTTATATCAGTGTTGTTGCACAACAGAGTGGTTATAGTGTGTGGTGTAGTGTTGTGTGTGTGTGTTGTGATTCAGGGCCTTTGTGACTGTACAAAGTCCTGCCGACAACAAGAAACAAAAACATTTGATCACAAGTTATTTTAATGGCAAACTGTGACACAGTGTAATCCACACACTGCCTTTGAGAATGTAACCAGGCCACAAACTGAACCCAATATTGTGCTGTCCACTTTTCATACATTCAGGCTTCGAAGATTCAGCATAAAGAACAATCTGTTCAATAGTTTAGTACTCAAATGATTCTACTGTCAGCCTCAGATTAAAAAAAGTGAATGATCACATTGATGAGCAAAGAGAACAAAGTCTCCAGAGCGTCAAACACAGCAATGTGCGTGCAGTGCATGAGCTGATCCCAGCTCAGCTCCTGCCTGCACCTCCCAGCAGCACTCTGTTAGCACACAGGGCTTCATCTCATACACATCTGATTTATTTGGACATTTCTGCATCTCAAGTAGATTTGGGTTGGCCAAAGTACATTCAGAGAAATACATGTTGGTATTGTGGCATTAGCTAGCAACTCTACTACTCTGAGTAACTTTAGCTCACAGGAACTTCGTGCGTGTCAACATGAAGCTGCTGCATACTGAAGGTAAGTGGTTCAACCCCACAAACCCGCATACTTCATACCTCAATTTAAGAGAGTCACATGGGACGAGCACGAGTTACTCCATGTGACTTAAATTGGCATTGTATTTGACTATTTATAGTCGGATATACAAATAAAGTCTGGACACATTTTTGCCAAAAACATTATGTCACCCGGGGACATAAGCATGCAGATTTCTTCTCAGTGGCAGTTTGTGGGTCCGATCTGGACCAGAAGTCCTCCTCCTTAGAGATGAAAGTGTTTTACAGACCACCCTAATGTCTACTTACATTAATGGAAGTTATCACTTCATGGAAACACAAGTCTTTAGATATGGCTAATTTGCTCTTACCTCTTTTTTGTTACAATGATATAAATCCTGAGACTTCCACTGCATATTTAAATGTTTCCCATGAGTAGCTGAACATTGCCTAGAGTAAATCAGAATTATTTTTGGGTGAAGACACAGCTCCTGTTTTGCCCACCATGACAATAGCACGACTCAGACATTTCAGTATGTAAACAGTACTGTGTAACATTTAAATTAACTATTTTCAGTTGATATGCATACATTGTTTTCAGTCTTAAATGACTGTAGTCCATGAAATTATGATTAACACAATTGTTCTGCTCCAAGTTTCAGATGCACATGGGATCAGTCAAAAACATCTTCCTGGGAGGAAATGAGTCGAGACTCCCCGTGGTGCAGAGTGAAGAAAGAGTCTGGCTTCAGTCCTTTCTGCTCCAGGGCCTCTCTGAGACGCACCGGAGGCTCCAGGTAGAACTGATGGAGGAAACAAGACCAGGGGGAACAGACCTGAGTACGTTTGATTCTTACAAATCCTATTTAAATCAACAAAGTGTACCCTAAATTCTTTAGACAGGCTAGCTGTTCCTCCTCCATCCTTAGAAAGAATGAGTAAACATTTCCCCTATCTGTCATTAACTGTATACTGCTTACCTCATAGGCGAGAGCGAACGTTCCCCAGTGGATGGCCACGGACTGTTTGGCCTGAAGGTCTTGGTGGACCTGAACAGCCTCTTCTGGATCTACATGCTGCCCCTGCATCATGTCCCTGAAAAAAAGAATGTTCTTACATGTTTGTCTCTGTAAACTCTAATAAACAGAAATGATCTCTGTCCTAAATACCACCTTGGTTTGGTAATTTGATAGTTTAAGGTAGAGTTTTTGTAATCCTATTACATGAGGGGGCAGTATATTAAAAACTTGAACTATGACAAGTCATAGTCTGCAAGAACTCACAATTGAATTACCATGTTGACTGGAGGAAATAATAGGCATGATGAAAGTAGACCGTGTGTGTATAATGTGCAGTACCTGGGCAGGTAGGCTCCGATGGGGATTGCCGCAAGGTCAAACGGTCCGAAGCGTCGTCCGATCTCCTGGAAGGAAGAGCAGTAGCCGGTATCACCAGCGAAGAAGAATCGATGGTCCGGACCCAAAATAGACCAGCTGCTCCATAAAGACTGGGGGAAATACATCAATATATTTCAGAATAATCTAATAAACCTGGCCTTTTATATGTTGACTTTTCTACAAATGCATGTATTTTTGTTAAATGTATGGTTATGTCTCATTTGCCTGCACTTTAGGGGATGGCAATAAAACAAAGGTAATATTGAATCCTTACCTTGTTATCGTCGAGCGCGGTGCGTTTGCTCCAGTGCTGAGACGGTGTGCAGACGAATGTGACGTCATCGTGACCGGGGACACAGTTCTCCTCCCACCAATCCAGCTCCATCACATTCTCACAGCCTGTCTTCACCAGCCAGTCCATCAAACCCAGGGGCACGAACCTGCAACACACACACACTCAGTTAATATGCCACAGTACTTTTCATGTTATGATTGAGAGTGAAAGCTGAATATTATCAAGACTGGATTTTAAAGGGGCCCTATTCTGCTAATTTTCTCTTTATTTTTCTCATACTGCCTGTGCTGCAGCACCTCTTTTCACCCTCTGTCTGAAACCAGAGCCCAGTCTGCTCTGATTGGTTAGCTGGCCGGCTCTGTTGTGATTGGTCAACCGCTTAGAGATGTCCCGCCCCTTAGCCTATCACGTACAATGTTTTGGAGCGCTAGCCAATAGGAACGCGAGTGTCAGTCATTGTCACTATGTTATGGAAGTAAACAAAGGTGTCCAATGGAGGCATTTCAGGCAGGGGGGCGGGGGGGGTGAGTGTGTTAGAGAAACACCTTCTGGAGGGAACACAGGGATTTTAGCCTTTGCAGACCATTTACATTAACAGAAACCTTTATAACTCACTAGAGGAGAGGGAAAAGCCCAAAATGCACAATAGGGCCTCTTTAAATGTACTTTCAGACTACAGATCCAGGACACGTACCAGCGTAGCTCCCCTCCGAAGCGTGCGTTCAGGCTGGCCACAGACCCAGCATCCAGATGGTCATAGTGAGAATGACTGATGACCACAGCATCGATCCTGGGCAGCTGGTGCAGGACGATGGACAATGAAACAAGGCCTGGGTTAAATACTGTGGAGGGGGTGTTAGCTTTTTATTTTCTTGAAAAATGTAAAAGGTACTCAACCTGTTCCACAGTGCAGGGGGGCCCTCGGTACCTTTTGTGGCCCATGAACTGGAAGGGTGAGGCCCTCTGGCTGAACATTGGGTCTGTGAGGATATTCAGCCCGTCCATCTCCACCAGAACTGTGGCGTGACCCAGCCAGGTGACCCTCAGCCCGGGGCCCAATTCAGAGAGGTCCGGGGTCTGGATGAAGTACGGCTCCAGCACGGGGAGCTCGTTGTCCAGAGCCTACAAGGGGGGGGGTTACGGGTATGTTATGTACAACCGACCCACATTCTGATGACGGCTGAGAGGATGTTTCAGTCTTATGACCTCGCTTGATCATACTTTTCAAAAATCATACCTAATCCCCTCTTACCCTAATAACATATGAACTGTTGTACGCTCTGCACACGTTACTGCGCTCTCCTGTTTAAACCTCTGAACAGAGGAAGAAAAGGCTCTTTGGACAACTTTTTTCAGTCTGTTTACGTTTCATTTCTGTCTTGTAGTTTAAAAATCTACCTCCTTTCAGAATATATTTACGGAAAATAGCTTGCTACCTTGACATGGTAAAATGTAAATCTATTTCCTTACTGGATGACTAAAAGTGTGCCATTCTTGGGTTAAAACATGTTTCTGTTGCTGTGAAAGCAGAGTTTGAAGTCTGTTAAGCTCCAACAGAGCTCAGCAAGGTTTCTACTTGGAGCTTAATACTCACGGCAATAATCCAACAGACGAGGGGAATACTGTATATGACCTCTAATGCCGGTCACTATAAGGATAATACAAGTGCCATACACTCTGGCTTAACAATATTTTAGGTAATATTTGAGTAAGTTCAGAACACCTTCCAACACTTTTATATTTATTCAGTTTTTTAGAAGTAGGTGAGTTTAGGCTTAGGGTGGAGCTATATCAGCCACTATGTACTGAGGTTACATTTAAACCCTCTATTACTGATCAGACACTATTCCAGCGTTTCCGCCAGGGGGGCGTCTTGCCGTCATTTGACGCTCTTATTCAGTTCGGAACG